TTTCTTCTGTCACAGAAAAAAATAGTGTTTTATACACGGGAAAAATATTAGATTTTAGCTCACGGTTTTTTGCGTTCCCATTACGATCTCTGCATTACGTGAATATTATTATAATAACAACCATAATTTTCTTCTGATGATGCATAAAATGCAGTTATGCTATGATGAAATCCTGAGGCTACTTTATGCATATACGGCTCATGAATCTCTAAACAAAGGACATCAAGAAATAACATCAATAACCTCTCCGTGGTATTCATTGTTAATGAGGATATACAGAGGCAAAATATCCAATACCATCCAATACCATAATACTCCCACAAAACGTGCGAAAATACAGGGCTTCTTAGAATTTCAAACATATGAAGAGATACATTGGTCTGATGAAAATATGAATTCTTTGGTAGGTATTCGAAAATTGAATTTTCAATGTTTAGATAGCTTCTAAATAATATGGATGACCTATTTTCTTGACTCTGATTCCATAATGGTTCAATGAATACCCACCTCTCGAAATTGTGAAATGTTTTCATTGTGTTGATATTGCCAAGACTTGGGTGTTCATCAGTAATTTTTAATAATCGCACAATTTTGTAGAACAGACAATGGAATCAGTCCAATAATTAAGTGTCAAGGTGAGGACAAAATTAAAGGACATTCGACGTTTATTGTCTTCAGCAAAAATAGATCTACCTTTTTCTATTTATTTTATGAGATTATACTACTAACCATTTCTCTGAAGAAATCCATCATTGCACTGCCGTTTTTGTTAACAATATGGAAATGAAAACTGAAGGTGGTTTTAAAAGGTACCTAGGTATATAGTGATTATTTTTTTTTATCGCTTGGAGCGCACTCATTATTTTCAACAAATTACTCAACAATCACTGTGAGTCTGTGGTATATATTCAGTTTTCCAAATGAAATTTTTATCAACTTGATTTATTTACGTTTGCAAGCTGGGATTTGCTGATGGGTTGTTTTTACTACATTATAGATAAACTATACAGGGTGTTTCCTAATATGTGGGACGAAATTCGAGAGCGTGATAGGGCGTTTTGTTTATGAGAACTTATTTATTTTCTTGAGACGCCCTATCACCTCTAGAAGTGCGTGCCACATATCACTAAATACCCTGTATATACCCTGAACGACAGAAATGATTATTTATCTATTGAATATAACAATACAACTTTGGAATTTTGGAATTCTAAAAGAGGCATATAGGGTTTGTTGGTATATGTGAAATGAATTTAGAATCAGAAAATATGACGCAACAATCAACATGGACGATATAGCACTTCAAATAACTTCAGCAATATGAAAGCTAACACGTGGATTAAGATCGATAACTTCGAATGTTTATTTAATTGAAAATGTTCCATATAAATCAGGTTGGATACACACCCTGTATATTTTATGTATGAAAGATCCTCATAATTATATCATTTTAGTGCGCTTAATTAATAACATCGAACAACTTTCAGACTATATAAGTACCTATACATACTTCTGAATCGACTTCAAATTGTAGGTACCTATAAATATGATAATGGATTATTTATTTTGTAACCGGAATATAAATTATAAAATTTAACTCGTGAATAGTGAATATATATCTTCAACGGCTCATTTATCGGAAATGAATCTATATTTCGTAGGTGTTGATTCGCATTTCTTGTTCTAGACTAGGTTACTTGTTGTACAATACATAATAACTCAATTCTCAAAACATGAAGTAGGTTTTCGTATGGATGAAGCTTACGTAAAAGCCTTGTAAAGATAAAGGTAATTGATCCATGTATTATTTTTTTAATCTTCAGCTTTCTTTCACACGAGAGAAAGAATATTTGAATATCTCTTGGGAAATCAATAATAACTGTTTGGTATGCTGATTCATGTTCAATTTAATTAATAAATAATACATCTTAAATATTATGTCATAATAGGAAACATGGTATCTATAGCTATATGTTTTATCCCAGATAACACAGGATATCCTATGGATATCCTTCTCAAGTCCATTTCAGGTCGGGATATCCTGGGACATGAAATGGATATCCATAGGATATCCGTCAGAGGATATCAAATGGATATTCTGATGCGGATCACCTATGGACGTCCATAAGATGTTCGTTTAGCGAAAAAAAATTGTTAATTGAGAATGGTTCAAAACAATACGAATCATCACAAATATCACATGCAAATCACATGTTCATTAGAAATTCAAAGGTAGTTTTCCATCATATAACTATTGTTATATAGGTATAATATGTTTATAGCCACAATTAAGATATCCGATGCAAATATGAATTCATATAAATAACAACACCACAGTTTGGAATTTTTCTCTGTTGTTCAATGTTTTCGTACAAAAATATACAATCACTCGAAAATAGCTCTCATATATTTTCTTTTTTGTGGTCTTCAGATGGACATCCATGAGATATTCATCCATGGATTTATAGCGGATATCCATCAGAAGATATCTTATGGATAGCCATAAGATATCCAAAGAAAACATAATAGTTATTTATGTATCAAGGGCGTAAAGTAGGCGTTTATGGCCTGTGGCGTGAATAATGGCCCGATGGCGCTAGCCGAGGGCCATTACACGCTGAATAAACGAGCTGAATTGTCATTCTTTGACTGAAAAGTAAAATCGTGATAATATAATAATAGCGAGACTATGGAATCGGATAAAGAAGAAGTTCATGATATACCGCTGGATATATTAGAATCTAGGAATATGATCATAGGTTTTTCATGAATTGAGTGGATATAAGGCGACTGAGAACAGCGGGCGGTAAAGTGCACTTTACGGCCCGTGGGCCATAATGAGCCCGCGGGCGGTAAAGTGCGACTTAACGCCCGCAAAACCGGGCGGTAAAGTGCACTTTACGGCCCGCTAGTGCATAAAATCATATTTATGTCAAAATAACTTTTGTTCTTCAACATTTTCGCACAAAAATATGATTTTTCAGAAATAATCTGTATCTCCATTTTTTTCCTTGGGATTGAGATGGAGATCCATAAGAAGATATATTCGCATCCCTGAATTCAAAACTGGGTAGGTATTTTCCCAATAGATAGTAATAAAATATTCTGAAGCAATAAAATATAAATCAATATGGCATTCGCGTGAATGACAAATTTTCCAAAAGAAAGATGGAAAAATCTAAGAGAATCTAATTCTTGAATTCACCTTAACAGCATTTCGGAAAATAGCTTCATTGTTGCGCTAGGGATAACGCGATTCAATTACGGCCACCTCGCCTCCTCTATTTATCTCTCAAAAGATTGAATTCAATTCGAATTAACCTCCATGGCTAGAATCGTTCTGATTGGTCTAAAAATGCATCCATGTCGAAAGTCATGGTAAATTGAATTCTTTCATGAGGTATGAGCACACCCCAAGAATCTGAAGCAAATAGTATTCTTTTATTTCCTTAAAGTATTTATTTTTCTTAGTAACCCGTTTTAATTTGTAGTTATTTGCAAATTCAATAAGAATATTTATTATTTTATACTTTTTTGCATGTTTACTTCTTTTTTATATATTCATATTTTAATTTAGTTAGTTTTATATTCACATCATAACAGTATTCCTTTATTTCCTTTGTTTAATTCTCTTATAGTGACCTGTTTTATTTTTTGTTATTTGCAAATTCAATTAGAATATTTATTATTTTATACTTTGTTGAATGTATACTTGTTTTTTTATATATAAAAAATGTTATTTAGTTTGATTTATATTCACATTATAACATTTGTTATTCGGTTTGCAACAATTGAATAAATTTTATTTTTTTACATACTCCTACCTGGTGATTTTTTAAGGTGGTTCACTCCTATAACTTTTTCATTATTGTAGGTAGTAAAACGTCAATTGGGGTAATGAATTATAGTTCATTTTATATTAGTCGACATATCTACTTGCTTTACCGCACTTAACGGGACACCCTGTATTTTATTCCATAATCGGTTAAGGATTATCATAACGAATTCAACGATACTGTGTTTGATAGGATTTCTAGAAACGATTAGGAAGATATTCACATTTCCATATCCTCAATGAGCATAAGAAAACTTCGAATGCAAATATCTTCGTAATCGTTTGAAATAACCCTATCCAATCCGGTACCGTTGAATTCGTTATAATAGTTCCTAATTCATTATGGAATAATATACATGGTGTTCTATATTGTTAAGGATATTTAGTAAATATCCCTGAAAAATATCTCATGGATATTTGTGAACAATATCTTATGGATATCCCTGAAAAATGTCTTATGGATATTTGTGAACAATATCTTATGGATATCCCTGAAAAATGTCTTATGGATGTCCCTGAAGGATATCCTATAGAAGTCCAACTCCTTCCACTCGGCACGTCCATTGGACGTCCATAAGATATACATCGGATATCACTGGATATTCTCTGGATATCCCAAATATCCTAAATGGACGTCCAATGGATGTCCATCGAATGTCCGTGTGTTGACTGGGATGTAATCAAAATATTGTATGTTTCATTTTTTGACAAAAAACGTGTAAATTCTGAGACTAAAATTAACTAACCCATATATAATTATTAATTCATCTACTCAGTTTCGAATAAGATGACTGTTTCCACACTCTGGACATTCTTTCATTCATAAATGAAATATATGAGAGCATCTTCACCATCAACTTCTTGTTCACGCAGATCAGAGATTATAACAATATTTATATTTTTCGTTTTGATTTTGTCCTACTCCTGGCTCACTCTAGTTTCCTGTACTTCCTGTAATTCAATGTTCCCTCTCCCTCTGGCGGACATGATCAGGACCTCAGAGAGTTTAGGAGGGTTCGGAATACAGCGATCTGTAATTCAGATATACTTCATGGCATTATGGTAACCAAGGTTGGTAGAATTAATGTTTTTCGACAGTTGAAGTTGACAGTTTTCCAATTCCTGTGATCCTGTGCTCTGATGTTATTGTTCGATTGTTCTTTTTCTGACTTCTGTGTTCTGTGTCAGTTCTGTGGAAGGAAATCAAAATCCAAAAAATTCTGGATAATATAAATATAAATTATACATTTTTGGAGAAGATATTTTGGGATTTTGCGAATTGAAAGTATTAAAACATCCATACAGAAAACTTCGTTGATACGTCTGAAAATAGAAGGTAGGGTAGTATGAATATATGACATTTTCAACATTATGTAAGTAAAATTCTAACCCCAAAATAAAATTAGATTTTCTAGTTGCTTAGGACAGGAGGATGAAATAAAGCATATTGAACAATGGGGAATACAGTTTCCGCTGCAGAAATTGCCGCATCACAAATAATACATCCAAATGAACCTAGACACACTCAGCACAAGCATCCTGATATCCATGATTATCATGGAGAAATACCACCAGAGTGTCCTATGCACAATAAAGCCAAATCTGATGAATTAAATCCTCTGAACATGGTGAGTTTATTGATCATTCAGGCCACATTGTAAACAATCCTGTATTGATTATTGAGTGGACCCCGAGGGGGCGACCACTCTCTGCAATACGTGTACATTTGGTCTGAAATCACTTGCAATCGTCACTGAAATCCCCTGAAATCCCGCAGTCAATTTGCAATCGCCGAAATCTCTATCTGCAATCCCGCAATCCCGCAATCGCTTTCGCAATCGCTTCCGCAATCGCGGAATTCATCGAATTCAATGATGGAGGGGATACGACCATTTGCAGTAAACCAACGAAGGTATATATTATATTTTATGTTGTTTTTCGGTTATACGTTGATCTTTGAAGAATCTCTAGTGTAGTTTGAGTTTTGTGTGAAAAAATCGACATTATGTTGGTTCTTCGCTGACAAAAAAGGGAAACTATCATCTGACAAAAAAATTCGTTGTCGAGGTATGTCAACACGAAGTCAAAATGAATAATTCCACTTCTTCTGCCACAAAGGAAAATCAGAACAAAAAACCGTCAAAAAAATCGACGAATCATCATGTTGAGGAAACCTCGGATAGTGAAAGTGACGTATGCTATTCTGAGAAATCAGAATTTGAAAATGAAAGTTTTTCGGAGGAAGAATCAAATGGAGAGAAAGAAACGTCAATATGCATTGAAAAGTATTATGCAGCTATTTATGACACCTGGTATATTGGACGTATTTTAGAGATCCTCGAAAATGATACCTTTAGAATTTAGTTTTTAAAATCGGAGCTGGATATGTATACAGGCTGATCCACGGTGGATGGCCTATTAGAAGTATCTGGAGAACGAAAAGACCTCGGAAAAGACAGAACATTCTGAAAATTGGGATGCTTTGATAATTGAACATTCTCTATCCGTCCAAAATATTTTCATCGATACAGTGTTGCCACTTCTATCAGAAACAACTAGCAACTTTGTTATTTTAAATAGACCACCCTGTATTTTATTGAATTTTTAGATTCTCATTGAAAAGCTGATTTTATCAATGTATCACACTTAGGGTCTAGCAGGAATTATTCCAGAGATATAGGGTGTTCATAATCGAGATTTTTCAATTTCAGGATTTTTTTGTGTCGAGAGTATTCATTATTCATCAAAACGGTTTACATATCCCTATCTTAACTTTCGATTCACTATCTACTGACATTTAATTGGAACAGATACAGGGTGATCAGAATTCTGAATCTTGGAGCACCCTGTATTTTTTCCAATCAAATTCCAGTAGATAGTCAATCAAAAGTTGAGATAGGGACATGTGAGCCGTTTTGATCGTTTCGACACAAAAAAATCTTGAAATTGGAAAATCTCGATTTTGAACACCTTATGTCTCTTTAATGATTCCTGCTAGACCCCAAGTGTGATACATCGATGAAATCAGCTCTTCAGAAAAAATCTAAAAATGCAATAAAATACAGGGTGTTCCATTCGAAATAACAAAGTTGCTAGTTGTTTCTGATAGAAGTGGCAACACTGTATCGATGAAAATATTTCAGATGGATAGAGAATGTTCAATTATCGAAGAATCGCTAATTTCAGAATGTTCTGTCCTTTCCTTCTCCAGATACTCTTAATAGGACATCCACCGTAAATCACCCTGTATATGGCCTAATAAGGAAAATATTCAAGTTGTAGAAAAAAAGTACATATTATTGTATGGGCCAATCGACTTAGTCGGTAATGGACCTTTCCGCCTTAAAAGAAATGATATAATGAATATTGAGAAAAAATACAAAGATTCAAAGAAACAGTCAATTCGCTAACATGAATGCCAGTATAATAATTATGCTATGATCACTTTAATGAAATGAAAAACACCAGAGTTGAAACAATAATAAAGTGTTTATATGAGACAAAATGGTTTTTCAATAATTCCAAATTTTCTTCAATTATGTTTATACTTTATTTGGTTGTATAATCCGTCATGCTTGAATAATTAGGTAGATGCTCTACAATTCGAAAGGATTACCTATGTGGTAATCTCGGTGGTAATTGAATTAAATCACATATAAACTCTAATTTCAGAAATTCACCATTGCAATCAAGCTAGCAAATGAACCCACAATCGCGGAAATCGTCTCGCAATCCTCAATATCATTTCACAATCCCAATGCAGCCCCTGTAATCACTCTGAAATCACTGAATTCAGTTCGCAATCCTCCGAAATCGCAACAATTTACAAAGAATTCTCTGAAATCGCTGAAATCATGGGATTTCCGCAATACGTGTACATATTTTTCAGAGGTGGTCTCCCCCTCGGTGGACCCAAACCCAGAATCCAACCAGTATTCTGAACATGAGCTTGATACTCATAAAATTAATTGCTTTGAGGAATCTGTATTAGAACTATTAGAAGTCCATAAGTATCTCAAAGTGAAAAAATATGTTGCAAATTATGTGTTGAATAAAAAAGGCATGATGCCTTCTGATGGAAATTCCTGATTTCTCAGTTTGGAGTTGAAAACACTGAAATCTTGATATTATGAATACACCTGAAAAGGCATGTTTCTTTTAGATGGGTCCTGCTAATCAAAGTCCTGCACCAGGACAACCATTCCCACTGTCAACTAACAGACAGGTTTCCACAATTCCTAAGGCAATTGTAAAAGAAGGAGAAGGCCCATTCTGGGTGTATCCAAGCCCTCAGGTGAGAATTACTATAGGTGTGAATAAAAACTAAAAAAATAAATAAATCTGTGCATAACAATCTGAAATTAAATCTGCAGTTGCATTCATCTTTGTAATTTTCATATTCCAGATGTTCTGGAATGCTATGCTGAAAAAAGGCTGGAGATGGAAAGATGATGATCTCAATCAGAAAGACATGGATCACATCATAAGTATTCATAATGCAAATAATGAACAGGCATGGCAAGAAGTATTGAAATGGGAGGCATTACATGCACATGAGTGTAAAGATCCTAGGTGGGTAAAAAAGCATCACTCAAGTTGTATATACGTACTAAACATAGGGTAAATGAACTGGTTCTGGACCAGTTAATGGAAATGTCAACTTTGACAGTGGTTAATTCCTGTAAAAGCTTATAACTTATTGGAGTTAGTATATACCTATTCATTTGAAACTAATTTGTGCATATTTTTCAAGAGTTTTTTTGTAGCCAACTTTTTAAATCTTGATGAAAGGAAAAATCTACAATTTTACTGGTTCTCAACCACCTGCAGAGTTCTTGACCATTTTTCCACCACCTTCCATCAGATTATTTCACAAGGAAATGAAATGATTGAAAAACAATTGACATGTAAAGATTATAATGCAAAAATCATTTCATACTCAGGCAAACTCCTAAAAACTAGAGAACTGAAAATCACTCATTTTCAAACATAGGAAGCTAATGTTCATTGCCCATGTCAGTATTTTCTATTCCTAAAAGAGCTATAAACAATAAAAATGAACATTAATAAAAATTAATGAATTTGTGCAGTTGCAATAGGTATTTCATGATAAAATATGCTAAATATTTCAATGTAAAAATTATTTCATACTTAGACATAAGATAATCAGATATGATATGGTAGAGAATGACAATTTTGTTAAAACTGGTTCCTGACCACAGTGGTCCAGAACTGAATATTGTCAAATTGGTTTTCCACCATCAATAAATGAATTGCAGAAGAAATCTCATTTAGGCTTCATTTGATGGTTGCAAACTAATATTTAATAAGTAGACATGCAAATGAATCAGTATTTAGTTGAAAGTTGAACATTTTTCAAAGAAAGTAAGACATACACAATTATTCAAGATATGCTTTGGTTCTCCTTTTCCACCACTTTGGTCAAGAGATAGAAGAGCCAATTTTTGTAAAATGGGTTCCAGACCATTGAATATTTTACAAAAAAAATGTTGTTTATATCTGTTTCTTCTTGAAATACAGAAAAAACTATATATACTAATAGGCAAGGATATAAATGCCTGAATTCAATTGAAATATGCATATAATGGAAATATACTAGGAACATAACATAAATGCATCAATTTTTTTTTTTTATAAAATATGCAGTTATATTTCAAAAAACACCATTTGAACACCCTTCAATTTCATGGAACATTTGAACATAGCTTTGGGCGGCGCAAGTACTGACGTGATAATCCCTTTCCCTGTGTTGCCAGCTGTTATTTTAAGGAAATATTTCTCAATATCCATACTGTTAGCCAGTTTGAATCAAGGAAAGTGGCCGAAAACACATTTTTCAGTAATTTTAATGGTATGAGGAATATCTCTTATTATTTTGTCTCAAGTGCCAGTGCATCTACCCTATTCAGGATTCAAATGAATTAAAATCTCATATTTTTCAAAATATGACAGATCTACTTGAAGCATTTTAGCAAAAAAAATTTTTCAATGACTAGGGAAAACCCCAACTTGAGAAAGTTGGCAACATAAATGTCTAAAAAATATAGAATTTATTATTTTTACCATAATATCATGTTTGATGTTCAAATAGATGTCAAAGTTTATACAATATACCCTTCAAAAATAACCAATAGCAATAAAAGATAACATATCCTTGGTGTGACCAGAACCATTCATTTGATAATATTGGAGAAACACTGCATAATATTGAATCACTGGAAATGATAATTGAACCAGAAGCATCAAAACTTCAAGAACATGGAACAAGTTGCATCAAGCAATTTGTTTATACTGGTTTATATTTATACCCATGGCAACTTATGCCTTAGCTGATGATTCAGGAGAGTTGGTTTCTTGTTCAATTAAACAAGGTTTTTGCTATCAGAATCCTGACTTACATAGATTGAACTTCAATTCATTGGACCTGTTCATTGCTCCTGTGCCACACTAAACAAAACCTATTTGCATGAATCACCTTCAAAATTAATTTCAACCAAAAACATACACTGTATAATTTGAAAGACAGGGCATTCATTTTTGATTTGAAATGCAAAAGCTCGTGCAGAAGAGACCCATGTAGACATATTTAGAAAATGAATTATCTCATGAAATTTACATTGATTTGTTCTTGTACCTACAATACAAAAATCTGCCACCTTCAGTGAAGAATATTCCTATATTTGTGTTTTTTTCAAAGATTTTGTTCATTTTATTGTTTTAATTGCAATTTATGCATATTCAACTTTTATGGGTAATTCTACATTTCTGTAGATATGTCATAGGGTAAAAATGATATTTTTCAATCAAACACAAATCTGAAATACTCTGTATTCTTCTTACACCAACAAGATGAATGAATTATCTATCTATATATCTCAGCTGGATTCGAGCAGCTTTGATACTGTTTCAAAAACACTAAGTGCATTATTTCTGACACTTATAAAAGTTACCTATTATTTTCCTAGATTGAAAAGTTTTGGTGGTAAGGCAGCAGACTATAGCCCTAGAGCTAGAATGCGACAATTGATGGGCTATGAATTACCTTTTGACAGACACGATTGGATAGTAGACAGGTGTGGAAAAGAAGTTCGCTACATCATTGATTATTATGATGGAGGCTCAGTGGATGATAAATATAAATTCGCCCTTTTGGATGTGAGGCCTGCCATGGATAGGTGAGCTTATTCAGTAGGTAATGCAAAGGTTAAGTCCTACCATTATTTTTTAGTCATTTGGAAATTTTCATTTTGACAATGCTGAGTTTTATAAATCTTATAAAGCCCTGTGCTTGAAAAATTTTTCAGTATTTTTAGCTATTGCCATCTTCTTTTTTTCAAATGGCAGCCATTGTTTTGTTGACTATTTGAGAATTCCATATCAAGTTATGAAAAAATACCAGATTTAAATTTTTATCCTTGCCATTTACAAGATTTTGAATAATAACAAAATAATTTTGAGAATAAAAAACGTCTAATTTCCATTACAAAGCTGTCATCATTAAAAAAAATGCTCCAATTGTTCCAAGTGCTGATCTACCCAAGCTTTATTTATTTATTTTATTTATTTATTGAACAAATAACTTCCAGACAGAATAGGCTCTGGTATAAGGAAGTACATAATTATATACCTATAGGTAAACATATCATTATACAAAATATATCAACAACTGTAAATTGACAAACAAAGAATAATATTTGTAAAAAAAAAAAAATGGCATGTTCAATTTTATCCAGTTCGCTCAGAAATAATCAGTTTTTTTACCTCATTTTTGAATATACATATATTTCTGCAATTTTTTATATTATCAGGTATTTTATTGAATTCAGTTAAGGCTGAATGAGTGAATCTTTTTTGTCCGATTAGGGAGCTAGCGGCGTCAAGATGGAACAAGTTATATTGTCTAGTTTCATGATTATGAATTTCAGAGGGTTGAGACTTTCAAGAAAATCATCTTGAAGTACCCTTATAGAGGGTGTTTTAGTTGAAATTAGATTTTGGCACTGCTCTAAATAAGAAACCAGTTCCATAAACAACCTGATAGGTCCAAAAATACATAATTCATAAGGTGTTCATGAGGAGTTCTCCTGAAAAAATCAAATGAAATCTACCTATTCTAATGGTATGTTCATAGAAATAACTTATATTCATATTATTTTTTATTTTAACTTATCTTGAGAGTTCTAGTATTCCTATCACTCAGATGCCTTCATAGAATCTCATTTAACATATATTTATTTCATTCCATTTCTTATGGGAAATAGAGCTAGTCAATTATTCAATTACATGTAAATTAAATAAAAATGAGATTCAATGAACATACCATAAAATACATGATCATCACCCACAATCTTCCAAAATCATTAATTTTTTCTGGAGGTTTCATTGAGGTACGTATTTTTTGAGCATTCCAAGCTCCAGTGAAGGAAAATTGGAAAAATTTCTGTAGTAGGTATAATTCAAACTCACAGTAGATTCAGTACAAACATTTAATGCCAACACTATTTGAAAAAATATTATGACTATTTATGGGTAGGGTGATTAAAAAAAATTATTTCTAAGCAGCATGTCCGAATAATGCAAGCATCTATGCTAATATTAAGAGGTATGAAATTATCAAGTGATCAGAGCTGGGCGGGGTACTGATAAATTGTACTCGAGTACCGGGTACTGTTTATAATTGGAAAACAAGTATAGAGTACTGGGTACCTTACTCATTGGATGTACTCAGAGTAAAGTACTCCGAGTACAAGTACCCGAATTTCACCGGTACTCATTTCAAGAACATTTGAATGGAGACCGCAGAAATAGGTGAGAAGTTAGAACTCTAGTAAGAAGGTATCTAATAATGTAAAATATATATATAGACATTTTGCAGTAGTATTAGTAACAATATTATTTATGAAATAAAACAACTCAACTTGCAATACTAATTACTGAGAAAATTAGGAAAACCAAAAAAATGTATCAGTGCAGTGCCAGTTAGTGAAGTGAGTGTACTGCCTAACTGATTAATTTTGTTGGCTTTGATAATGACTAATTTCTCGAAGTTTCCATCGGTCAGACCATTTCTCCGCGGACTGTTTATTATTGTTTCTAAGAAAAATAAGTGGTCCACTGGCACCGACTGATAATGATATAACAGCTGTTTCTCGTTTCTTGCAAAAAGTACCCAAAAAAGTTACTCGTTTAATAAACGCGGATACTGGGTACTTTTCCCGAAATGATACTGGTACGAGTACCAAGTACAGTCATATTCAATAAAAAAGCGTACAAATATTAAAAAGAGAGGATTTCGGGATCCTAGTTCTAGTTGTGTAAAACTGGCTCACTTTGTGTTTTCGAGAACCTATGACAACTTTACTATCAACATTTGGTGAACAATCATTCTCTGTAATATATACTTGTACGCTTTTTTTTAATGCGACCGTACTTTATCGAAAATGTACTCGGGTACTGGGTACTGAGTTCACAAAATGTACCTTGTTCTTATTTTTGTTCAAAAATTGTTCTTATCCATCATTCGGTTGCCCCCTTACGAGCAACCCTCAAAAGTCATCAAGAGACTTGTGCGAGCAAGGAATGACTAGGGTCTTACCTTTTAACATGTGATCCCAAACACTTTCTTAGGCCATTAGAAAAATTTCTGCGGTCGTGGTGGTGGGAATCGAACCCACCTACCGGCAATCCAAGGTGGATAGTATACTGACGCTTCTACCTCGAGGCTACGCTGGCCTCTTTCAGTACAATATTCGAGTACTGCCCTGCTCTGCAAGTGCTGAAGTTTATTTGTTTGTTTGTTGTATAGTACATAGAATCATCTTGCAAAGTGTGTTTGGAATAATAATAATTTGTCATCTCTTAGCTAGTGCAGCTGTTGATTTCCTCCTTCCTGTCATTGATGACCTACTGTGAAAAATAATGTTTTGTTTTTTCTTTCAGTCCTGAGAATGTTTGGGACAGAATGAAAGTTTGCTGGTGGCGATGGTTCTACAGTGATGAATGATTTGGAAGCAAGTTGATTTGGAGAACTAAAGATGAGAAGTAAGAGTCTTCATAGTGAAAATATGTATTTGGTTTGTCACTTGATACTGAGGTCAACTTTGAATGTTGGTTTTGAAATTTTGTATGCAAATAAACAAACTTGTTGGTTATAGTTTACCCCATTTAAGGATATTGTTCCAAAGTTCCAACACATTCACATATTTCTGTGTATGTAATAGCTGATGCATATAATTATAATATACCATCTTTTTCATGATTTGTATATTTCTCCAAAATTATATGAAATATAGCAAAATGGCTGAAGCACCAGTTGTTTACTTTTTTGGGATTCATTTTTCTATCAATAAAAGCTCCACTGAGTATCTTTTCTGTTGTAAGATTGGTTTCTTCATCAGTAAAGTAGTTGTTTTCTGTTACCTATACGTCAGTAACTTTCACTGCTAGACCCTAAGTATGATACGTCGTTGAAATCAAATCTTCAGGGAGAATTCAAAAATGAAATAAAATATAGGGTGTTCCAATGAAAAAAACATAGTTTCGATGTGCTGTGACCTTACGGAACACCCTGTGTATTTCAAAGAAATTTTGAAATGTGAAGCTCGATTATTACTTCAATTTTGATACATGACTTTTTTCTGTATTTCTCAAGACAACAGAGAAATCGAACTCTGGAGTCTTAGTTGGCCACCCTGTACACTTACACACCATGAATTGAATTTTGATACTATTTCGTCTCTATAGTATTGAGCGTTTCGGAAATATTCAGCAAAAATCATCCTCAGAACCCCTCTTTAGGAGAAATTTTCTGACCCAACATGAATACATATATATCTTCTTGAAAGTTTGTGGCTCCCTGTATAGTTATATAATATATTTAACGACGTATCTATAAATGAAAATTAATGTTACACATAGAAACTAACCAGAACATTCAGAATGAGAGTTCAATACAGCAACAGAAAAATAATTGATTGAAAAACGTTATAAATTGAACCGTATATAGCGCGCCGTCCTTTTTTTATGCGCCCCACGCAATGCACATCCGCTAGAAACGGTCCTGAAATTAGGACACATCATAAAAAGGTATTTATTATTTCCATAAAACATGATGAATCATGAAATCCACCCCTACGAAGTAGGTATTTCATTTTAAACCTGTACCGATTCAGTTACAAATCCACAGTTCGGTAGGTATTGATTGAAGAGCAAGAGAAGTGAAAACTTAGGCATGATGCAAATTATGGAAATGGTAAATTAAAATATCGACAGCTAATGGCAATGAAACAGAAAACCTCGCATGACTCGCATGCATTTTTCATCACCGTCTACCGGCTGCAATTCGGTATCATTTTTGTAATATCAACAAAAACGCATGGCGCCGTAATCACCACGTAATGCCATCTTCCGATCGATAGATTCCTATCTTACCGACCGCGTCGCACACCCTTCTCGCGGAATGACAGCAGTCGATTCCTCTGCGAGTCTGCGGACCAAATTGCAATTGAAACCTGAAATCGGACCAAATATTAGACTTATCATTATTCAAATAGTATTTTTCTATGTGTGTTGGGACAGAAATCATAATTTGCCGCCGTTGCGACGTAACAAAAGTGTAAGTGCATTTTTTTTTGTTTTTGTTAGTAACGCCATTTTTGCAAACCACTTGTTAACAGAGCTGCTGTTTAATTATTTTGATTCGTGTTTGGACTATTAATACGCATTGAAGTGCTTGAATTAACATTTCCTGTGTTCGTCTGGTTCATCGACGTCTCAATAAGGTTCTGACAGGACCATATGATTGGGTAAGTTTGAAGAACAATGCATTTGAATATTTAAACTGCAGGAACAATAGTCTGCCGGAAAATTTCAATGTGCATTTCACAGCTTTAGATGTTGATATTGACAGTTTTGGAGATTGCTCATCCATAGGTTTTAGATCGTATTATCTATTTGCAGGCATATTATTAGCTGTCAAACCTATGTTTCAGATTTATGAGCACATTTTCCTCATGAATTGTGACATGTGACATCTTATTTGTATTTAACGCAATTTCATTGGCAACGAGATGATGCACGTTTGCACAATAATTGTTTCAATTACTTCATTTTGCAATAATTTCCTTGTGAGTACATAACACAATATATAATTACTTTATTTATTATTATACAGGGTGTAACTGAATAAGTGTAAAACATTTGAGGGGCTGATTCCTCATCGAAAAAAAGATGGGATCTTTCATATAAAGCAACTTCATTGGGGCATCCCATGTTAAGATACAGCCCCTTGAAGGGGGTACATAAAATTTCTCCAAAAATTGTTTTCACAAGCACTAAAAAAGTTACATTATTTAAATTCACCTGACATTTTCTACTACCAAAAAGACACTTAGCCACTAATTTATTTGGTTCACCCCATGGTTGTGAGGGGTGGAAAACGCAACACCTAAATTTTATTTCCAGTGTAACTTTTTGTCTTTTTATTTGTTTACCATTTGAAAATTTATTTCCGATAGCCAGTTTCATTCTAAATAAAAAATGTCCATTGAGTTTTTTGCCCAAAATGAACCAGTTGGCAGCAAAAAAATATGTTAAGATAATTAAAGGGATTAAACCATGGAGTAAACCAAATGAATTACTGGCTAAGTGTCTTTTTGGTAGCAGAAAATGTCAGGTCAATTTGAATTCTGTAAATTTTTTAGTGCTTGTGAAAAAAATTGTTAAACAATTTTTATGTACCCCCTTCAAGGGGCTGTATCTTGACATGGGATGCTCCAACGAAGTTTCTTTATATGGAAGATTTTATCTTTTTTTCGATGAGGAATCACCCCCTTAAATGTTTTACACTTATTTAGTTACACCCTGTATACCCGATTATATACTTTCGTCTCTCACGACAAGTATTATTGCATAATAATATAAATATTGAATGATTTTAATGTAGGTATAGAATACCTGAGAATTGGTTCTGATTACCTCGCTGATTACCTAACCATCAAAAAGTAAACTTCAAAATCCACGACGCTAGGTATTTCATGATATGAATGAAGGTGGGAGAATGAGAGCTTCAACCTCCTCCAAGCATACTTCAGTGTTGAAAAAATTTCAAAATGTGTATTTTCAATGACAAATAATGTTCACCAAACTTTTTTTCTCGTTGCAACCTTTAATTGCATGAAATTGAAATGTAATTTTGAAATTCAATTTTTTTTCAACGTATCAATCGCTCGAAATGTGTGTTGAACAAGTGATGGCAATTTTTTGCCACAACTGCTATCTGCTATTGTATTCCATTGTCACTAAAAGTCAAAATTTTGATGAAAATACGTTGAAAATATAATATTTAACTTCGAAATTATATTTTGAGTTTATGCGACCCTCAAACGTACTGCAATCTGAAATATGATTAGTACGTGCTTTCCAATGAACATGTTGGGGTTGATTCCAGCTATACCCCTGAAGGGTTATATTCTTCATATAGATCGCCAAATGTAGGTAAATACATTTGAACATTGAATTTTCAAAAAAATTATTCACTCTAGTAGCGAATTTATATCAGTTGAAGTCTCCACCCTGTAAATTGAGGTTTGACTTATAGTGCAACCTGTTTGAGATACTATAGCTGTTGAATATGTGAACGAAATTCAGCATTACAATTTTTTCCATGAACACGTAGCAATTCGCTACCTCAGGACATACCTTCAGTTTTTCCCAAATACAGGGTGTCCCACAGACAGGAAATATCTCCGACCTCGAGAGAACTAGAAAATTGAGATTTTTGGGTTGTGTCACAACCCATGACCTAGAACCGGCCTAAGGACAACCCTCTAATGTCTGCCTTACCACTAAATGCCTCTCACACTAGGTATTGAAGAATTTAGTGTTTCCATTATCATTATTGTTTTGAAGTTGTCAATCAATTATTCCTGAAATACAAAAGTATTCGCACCTCGTCGTTTAATAATACCAAAATAAGTACCCATGAACTGTTTAACATAACATCCAATGTTATATTGGCGCCCAACGTGGGCGTGGAATTTAAGCAATCGGTGCAGCTTCATCTGATATATTTTCACCCAATGAGATATTCAAAATTTTAGATTATATAACCTGATCAGAACTTTCCACCTTGAAATCAAGTTAGGAATTCGTATACGAAGTTTTTCGGTCTTAGTCTGACCCTGTGGCTATAGAATGGGCCAATCTATCTTGCTTCAAACAATCCTATAATCCCTATATATTACCTGTCGCTCGGATCGATTATCCAGTTGATTACTGTTGATTCAATGGTAGATTTAATTAGGAATATTGGTCGACCCCTCCTCTCGACGACACTGGGGAATTCGCTGGGGTCGATTAAGGGAATTAAATGAGTTATAGGCATATGTATTGGGTAGTTAAAGAAGGACTACTGGAAAGTTCATACACACATTTTGAGAGGACATTCCTATATTCACATTATTCTTCAACGAGCGAAAAAAACCTATTCGGATTTTTAGAATCTTTGCACAACCTTCTCACTACAGTAGCTTCTTCAAGTACAATAAGCCATTATTGTACGAACATACTAGAATCGTTTTATTGGAGTCGCAAAAGTTGTGATGAGAACGAAAAGATTGAAGATAACAAACTGTGATTATATACACCGTGTCCCAGCTAAAATGTCCCCCTCTGCAAAAAATAAACCGCGCGATCGAATGACTTGAAATTTGGTCACCCAGTATATTTGATGATGCTCACTTGAAATATGCTATTGAATAATTCGTAGGTATACAGGGTCACACCAAAGTGCACCCAAACTTTCCTTTATGAATAGGGACACCCAGTATATTATTCCATATTCAAGTAGAGCTCATTATTACAAATTCAACGATGCCAGGTTTGATGGGATTTCGTAATTATTGAGGTAGGGTTCTGAAATTTGCCGGAGGAAGAGAAAGTCCAAAGATAAAGTCAATTACGTGAGATACGGGGGTGCTTCCATAAAAAATGCGACAAAATTTCATTTTTCCGAACTGAAAATTTTCCAGGAAAAATTTGAATAGTTAGTAAATTGGGCGTCCTGATTCCGAATCTGAAGTGATTTTCGACCTATTTTGACTCCTAATATCATTTTCCGGGAATTGGGGTAGTTTCATGGCTGTTGGCGAGCAGTGTATATCACTGAAGATGACCCCACTTGGTCATAGAGTGCATTTTTGCTATATCTCTCGCTCCAGAAAATTTCAGGATCCTTACCCAACGATTACGTAAGATACAGGGGTGGTTCCATTAGAAGTGGGTCACACTGTATATATTTTTCTGAA